CCCTGCCTTCAACCATTGCTGCCACTGAATTAGCCTATGCAGCTGTTTCTTATTGAGATGGTCTCAGCATCAGGCGCCCAGCATGGCATATTCCACAGGCCTGTTCACACACACATACACACACACACACACACACACACAGTTCCTCTTTCATTGTCTCCGGTTTAAACAGTAGATGAGTGAGAAGTTATTGGTCAGGCATTAATCACAAGATCCCGCCAATATTTTGTTTTCCCAGCTGGCTGATGCTCTACCAGAGAGTTCTCCTGCCAAGAGTTCCTCTGTGGGCAATACGAAGCCACCTCAACAGCCCAGTCAGCCTCCACAAGCCTGGCCAACCTCTAGTCCCTGGAATAACGCCCCAAGTGCTCCTCCTGCAGCTCCATCCGGTTTGCCTCCTAGCTCATCGACTTCCAACGTGCCTTTTGGACCGCCACCAACAGGAATGTATCCTTCCCTCCCCCCTGGGGCACCAGTTCCTTTTCCTCCTCCTGGTTCTACTTGTCCTCCAGGTGCTCCATATCCACCCCCTGGTCCTGCCCCACCAGGGCAATATCCACCACCAAACATGCCCTTCCCAGAGATTCCAAGGCCATACGGGGGTCCCACTGAACCAGGTGCTCCCCCTGCGGCTGTTGGAGCATGGGGATCCATGCCCACTGGAGGTTGGGGAGCCTCAGTTGGGGGACAGTATCCTGCACCTAGTGTGCCATATCCACCTCCAGGGCCATATTCCACTCCCACTCAGACTCCAGGGGCTGCTCCTACAGTGCCTTGGGGTGCTGTCCCCCCAGGACCATGGGGACCTTCGCCTCCTGGCCCCTATCCTCCACCAACAGGATCCTATCCAGCTCCAGGGATGTACCCAACGCCACCTAATCCTTACCAAGTGCCACCTGCGCCTGCTGGAGCACCATCCATACCTGGTGGCCCTCATGTAAGTAATAGTTTCCTCAGTTATGGTGCAGCTAAAACTTCAGAGGCAAAGGAGTCTAGTAATCAGATTCATGCCCATTTGATGTAGTTCCTGTTTATTGCTGTGGCTTCCAAGTGTTTCTGTGAATTTGTCTAAGGAGCCTTGGTTGATTGCAAAATGTATCTAGGGTGCACAGTATTTATATGGCAAATTAAACTTCATAATTGCCTTATACTATATCTTGAAACTGGGTGTTTCCAGGGAAAGACTAATATCTGTGAATCAAATGGCTTCCCCTGCTGTTTAGAAATTTTCATAGAGTTCCCAGAAAACATTTTGAAAGCATAATAGCTAAAATGACTGGGTTTGACACAAATGTAAAAGAATTGGTCCTACCATCAGATTTAGCAAGCTCTTAAATTGAGAGGATGTTACCTTCATCCCCTTGGAAAAGGAATAATTATAAGGCACTGTATAAACATATGTTTAAAATAAATTATTAATCTCATTGCATCTCTACCAACATTAACTTACTCAAGCCTTTCCTAGTATATAAGTGTAGTGAAGCAATAACCCCTTTTAATAAAATGTCATGTAAGATACTTTTGGCATTGATGTTGATAGTTCTACCCACTGTCCAGGTAAAATTGCAAGCAAGAATTCTTTGTGCAGTTTACTGTAACCCTTAGTGTTTGTAGGTAAAATATCTGTTTTAGGAAAAAAAGGGAAAGATCAGGCATGGCTCTTGTTGGTAAGAAGGTTGGGATTTTCATACAAGTCTCTTCACATAGTGTGTTGTCTGGCTAGGACAAAGAGAATGCCACTGTATGAGATAGTGGGATTCTCTGGCCAACAGATGCTATTTAAAAGCATGTCATTTTATTGGCTTAGTATAGGTAGTTCTTGACCTACAACCACTACAATTGCTACAACCAAAATTTCCATTGCTAAGCAACACAGCTGTTAAGTGAATCACTGCAATTCTTAAGATAGTATCACAATTGTTAAGTGAATCTGGCTTCCCCGTTGACTTTACTTTTCAGAAGGTTACAAAAGGTGATCACATGACCCTGGGACACTGCAAACATCATAAATATATGCCAGTTACCAGTGTTGATCAGGTGACCATGGAGACGCTGCAGTGATCATAAGTGTGAAAAACAGTCATACTTTTTTCATTACCGTTGTGTCTGCGAACGGTCACTAAACAAATGGTCGAGGAATACCTGTACCCGTTTTCCACAAGTCATTCTGTCACAAGGGAGTGGCATAGTGGTTCAGTGGTTAAGATGCTAGGCTTGTCAGCTGGAAAGCCGACAGCCCAGGTTCGAGACCCAAGCACCATGTGACGGGTAAGCTATCGTCTCCCCAGCTCGAAAGCAGTTCGAAAGCATGCAAATGCAAGTAGATAAATAGGTACCACTTCGGTGAGACGGTAACTGCTCCGTGCTAGCCACACGACCATAGAAATGTCTTTGGATAGCACTGGCTCAGTGGCCTTGAAACAGAGATGAGCACTGCCCCCTATAGTCAACAAGTAGCAGAGTAAAATCCGGGGAGACTCTGGATCTTTTACCTTTATTCTGTCGCAAGCATCAAATGTTTCTGGGCCCATCATTGCTATTCCCCCTTGTCAGAATTTGATGTTATTTGTTTTGACCCTATGCAAGTGGTTTTAGGAAGCTGCAGGTGGTTCATACAAAATGGCAATACATATCTGACAAATTCTAACTTTTCTATTTCATTTTTTTTTTAACTAAAAATATTTGATCTTGGAACAACAGAAACTGATTGTTTTCATGTTTATCTTTTTTTTTTTCTAGCCCTACCGTTGAACTTGTGGCAGGCTGATGGGGTACTGCCTCCCTACCTATTTACACAGAAAAGTTTTTAGTAATCTTTTGGAGTCTTGAAGAGCCTACCTGTGTTCTGCCAGCCCATTTGTGGTGTGAGGGAGCACTCCTCCAACGCTTATTTTGTGTGAGATGGATTAGGATAAACAAGTTGACTGCCCCAGCTCTCTAATCCTTACTCTAGTCAAGATTTTATCACGTGACATTAGCCTAATGAGTAAGGACTAACCCTGGATCAATACTACAACTATTTCTTAATTGCTGATTTAGAGGATTGGCCTGATTGACTGACCACATCTTAATTTAAATAATTTCAGTTACCCGGAGAAGCTTCTGAAGAAATGAGCTAGGCACCCTTCATCAAAGAGAAGCAAAGAACATTAATTTAAAGCAGTTCTCGGTATCAGACTTGATTTGTTCCATTTGAGAAACCTTTGTAGAGATGAACATCTGATATCTGATGCTTAGTTCATACAACAAACAACCTTGGGGAGCATCAGTTTGGTTTAGATGTTCAGGTAGTTCAAATAGATATTTCTGACATGAGTTTTCCAGCTCTATTAGCCATCATATTTGTTGTGAGCCATCTAAAAATAATCTGCTTTTAAGTCTGAAGCTAAAACAATTTGGTTTTGGCTTGAGCAAGCCTCAAAACCGTTTGAAGAGTTTTCTATGCTTCACTTCTGCAAAGCAAACTTTCTTTTTAAAAGTTCTTGCAAGAAGGAGTGGGAATATAATCAGTATAACCTCTTCTCTGGCAGCTCCAGTGTCTTTGAAAATTAATTTGGAAACTTTACTTTCATGTGAACGTCTGGTTTCGGGATAACAAACTAAACAGGAAAGTTTCTCTACTTGAGGATGTGTCTTAATGCTCATGATTAGATTATTGCAATTTAATTAGTTAAAATGTACTTGATGAATATTGTCAGTAGATGCAACAATCTAGATATACAGTTTTCTCACTTCAGTTTTGGGATGAACACCAAAAAGCCAGTCCCTTGTGGAATTTCCCATGGAGGAAATATGCTGGATTCATTCATCACGGTTCACAAAGAATACAACATTGCATCGCTGTCTTACTGATAAGTCCATGTTTTGACAACTTTCTTCTGTGGTCTCCAGAAATTTGCTTAACACTGATATCTAGCATTTATCATAAATTGGCTATTTTCAATCTTTAGGAAATAACTTTGCAGGAGAGATTTTTAGGGATTTCATATTCTAAGGAATAATGAACTAGCTTTAATTTAGTAAGAATGGATAAGACTTGGGCATGTGTCCTGTAGTGTTTGTGGAAATATTTTATTTCCTCACATCAAATGAATTTGAAAAGGCTCTTCATTTTCTTCCCCATCCCTTCTTGTCCTAGTTTTATAAGCATTTCCCATCCCCCACCCACATTGGTTATCTTCCTGTTTTTCCTCAACAGCCAGCTTCTCTTGAAGGATATTGCATCTTCCCATTAACTTTAAACCACAGAAATTTGTATGGGCAATGGCTTTAGAATTCCAGTGATCTTTGGAAATATCAGATAATTTAGGTTAATGGTGAGAACTGCAGCTTGGCAAGTTTCAGAAGTAAGCTACATTATTAGTTATTTTCAAGTAGCATTGAGAGCACCAGTGCTAATGAACTCTGAAGTGACATCCCATTAACTTTGTATTATTTAAAGCAGTTATTTGAGGAGAGGTATGTTTTTCTTCATTGTAGAGGCATCCCACTTTCTCATTTTGAGTACACTGTTGGTAAACCTATCTGTCTCTGATGACATCTTGCTCCATATATTCCAGGTTTGGACTGCATGACTGGCTTTAAAAAGGAATCCATTAAATATTAAAGTGAAGTATTGACAAGTTTCGATTGTAGAAAGATACTAAGAAGCTTTGTCGGAATTCCAGTTCAGATTTGAAAAATTTAGATATTTCCTATGTTGGCTTACAGTGAGGGAGACTAATGGCTGACAATATACGTATACAAGTTTGTGATACTTGCCAGAACACTCTTGAAGTGAATGCAATTATATGAAATAAGAAATGTGGATCAAAATATAGAACAGGTTAGTATTATTCTGTGTTCTGCCTATTCTATAGAAATATTAAATTTTACGAAACTCTTGAAGAATGCTGAAAGACATTTTGCAAAGTTTTTCTAAGATGACAGAATACTTTTTTTTTGCTAAACCTTTGCTAAAATCAAGCTCACAGAATAGATTTGCCCTAATACATATTGATTTCTCCTCATCCTAAAGCTGAATTATGATAAAAACACAATTTTGTGTTTCTAGCTATTAGTACAAATCTACTCAAAAAGAAGTCCTATTACCTTCAGTGACTTTTATGTAAGCGGTTGTAGGGTTGGAGCTCTGTGTCAGACTGGGACCCTGCTTAAACTAGAAGTACAAGCATTCTGGCAGGGCTTCCTCCATGTTATATCTGCTGATGGGATTGGCTGAGATTCTGGGCCCTGCACCTGAGAAAGATGGTCAGCCATTGTTCCAAATAAGGGATTGTAGCATAAGAAAACTAACACAGCATTTTATATAGTTAACAAAACTCTAAATGTTACCTGTGCATATCATTCAGATTCTGCTGCATTAAGGGTTGGGAAGGCAGAAAAGATTCCATTGATAGGCCTGCAGCAGCATTTGCACCGTCCTTTGTCGCTGGAACTTTTGCAAGCCTATTAGCCGTTTGCTTGATTTTTCTTGTGGCATAATTCCACATTCAATGCCTTGGCCCCCTTTCCACAGAAATATTCATACAGAACACTATTTCTGCCTACAAAAGATTCTGTCAGCCTTTAATTTACCTTTAATGCATCACGTAGATGCTGGAGGCAAAGATGACTATAAGAAACTGCAGAGGCAGTAAAATAATGATTGCAACTGACACAGTTCTGTCCTTGTATCAAGACATTTGAGGCTAGCCTGTAAGTTGCATAGTGTGATGACACCATCCTGTGCACATTATTTGCCTTTCTACACTGGCTGGAAATCCTTTGGTTTATTGTCCAAGAAGAGGAGGAAAAAATATATGGATCTTTGGTTATTCGGGTTTTCTCCCGCGTAAAATTGGAAGTATCTAGGCGACGTTTCGATGAAGTCTCATTCATCATCTTCAGGCTTGTGTCTTCAGCTTTGTGCTTCTCAGAGATTTCTCTTCTCCTCTGAGAAGCACAAAGCCGAAGACACAAGCCTGAAGATGATGAATGAGACTTCATCGAAACGTTGGGGTATTTTCCCACGTCATTGTAGTTGTGCTTTTAAAGTTGTAGCAACGTTTCGGCAGAATCTCATCTGCCATCATCAGGCTTCTGTATGGTGTTCATCACAGATGAACTACAATGACGTGGGAAAATACCCGAACAAAGCTGAATGCCATACATGTAAGTACCCGCGAAAACTTAAGAAAACAAACAAATACACACACACACACACAGAGGAAGAAAGGACAAGATACACACACACACACACACAGAGGAAGAAAGGACAAGATACAACCAGATTTTTAAAACGGGCAAGCTCTGTGGTTCACAACCCAATTAAAACTAAGCTTGCAAGTCTTGATGGAGGTTCAGCATCTCTGCTTATCTTATTCCTTCATGTTAAGAAATTTTTCCTTGCCATATGGAGATACTATTCCTCTAACAATGGAAGACTCCCTTTCAGAAAGCAATTGTAGTTTAACGCTGTGTAGTAAAACCTTTTTAACCCTTCTGTCTCATGTGTGAGTGATTTGGGGCATGATGCTTGTTATGCAATGAAATTTGTATTGTTCCTCTATTGTGTTGCTTGTGAGCTAAAACTGCTGAGAAGTTTGGGATGGGTTGTTTGGCTTGTGTTTCTGGGATGTTTATTTAACTGCTTTTGTTTATGACATGGAATTATTAAGCAATCACACTTTTGAAGTATAGACCATATCACCTGCTGCTGTATTTTTTTTCTTTATAGATGACAAATATTTACTGTATGATGGTAGCGAAGAGGCTTTAAATACAGGATTTGATATTTTTTGAAAATGGTGTTATTTTTTGTATACACTTAGACATTTAACATATTTCAAAATGAGACTGTACACAATACACTTCATAAAGGTTTTGTTTCAGCTGCTTGCCTCTATAACAAAAGTTTTTACCAATACTTACAAAGTGATTTTAATACACTTTGATTGTTGAAACATCACAAAAGATTCTGGGTAATTTATTTTGATTAGATGCTAAGAAAACAGATCTTTACTACCCCTCTTACTTTAATTCATTATATTTCAAGGGGGTGGAGGAGACACAGATATTATAGGGGCATCCAATTCAAGTTGACAAATTCAAGTTTTTCCAATTCAATAAAAGATATAACTTTAGACTAAAATGGGGGGAAACACCAAAACATTTTAAGCTGTTTTAGTTTTTGGCAGCACAAGGACAAATAATAGACCCTTTAGAGAAAATTAATCAGCAAAATTTAATCTAGAAATATTCTCCCTATACTACATCTTTTTAGGGGAGAAATAATGGAAATACTGTTCCAGATTATCCTTCAATCCTATAGTTAATTTGTGCTGTACCAATACAAAAAATGTTCAACTTAAATACTTTTTCTGATCCCTAACAATTAAAAAAGTTTCTACTAAAGAGTAAGGAGTGGGCTATGTCCTCTTCTAGTTTAAACAATTCTGAAAATTGCTGAAGCTCTCTGGGACAACATGATCTGGATGGGTGAATTTGAATACTATATAGCAGGGCTGTCAAACTCCTGCCCATGGGTCAGAAGCATCACATGTTGGCCACGCCTGGTTTAGTGAAAGGGGAAAAAGTCCTGATACATCACGCCACCATGATGACATGAGTTTGACACTCCTGCTGTAGAGTAACTCTTAAAACAGAATATGGAACATAAGCTGCATTTTTTAAAAATCCCTTGAATTAGTCATAACCTGATCCCACAAGTTCTCAGAGAAGATAAGGGATCAGGATGAGTCAGAACCAGCAGTCAAGAAAGGTTGAATGCTGGTTGATCCCATGCCTATCCAAGGC